TGAATGTATAAAAATCAGAACTGAAATGAATATGAAAGCGATCCTTAAAAAACAAAACTTGAAAAAAGGTGAACCGTCATAAACTTTTCTTTTTAATAAGGAGAACTGAGTCTGGTCACCTCTTTCTTCACAAAAACGGATTGAACAGAACTTTGTAGAAACTGGAAATTGGATTAAAGAATTCTTTCTCGATCCTTTGAGTGGGTGCTGTATTAAAGTTCCTCTTCCTAAAACTAAGGCTGGATATGGTGTAAAGTGAAATAGTCTCACCAGATAATCCACAACAAAATAGTAGATCTTCGAAATGCAGGAGAAAATAGATCTATTATCCTTCCTCGTGCAACCTGCAACGAAAACAAAGAACCTCAAAAAAATGCGTACGTCAGATTCTTTCTCACTTGGCCCCTATATATGACTGTTTGGAAATAGAGTGTTTTAGGTTTCTAAGAAAACACTTTCTTCAAAAGGTGTATATGTCACATTTGTTTGCGAGCGCAACTGAAAGCAAAAGTACTGCAAAAGCGATCTCCTGATACACTGATTGAAAAGGCAGGAAAATAACAATTCTAATCATAAGTTTTTGAAATTTTGTCAAGTTCAGGAAAGGCTTTTTAAGACTCAAGTAAGTACCTCGTGTTGTTCTGTGGCGATTAGTTCTCCCGGAGGCAACTCCTTATTATTTTCTTTAGCAATCTTTTGCAAAATGCACAAAGCTTTTTCTGGCTTGCCTGCAGCCATATAGAATCGAGGAGATTCTGGGACGAGCTGCAGCAGAAAATAAAGTAAAATAGTTGTCAAGTGTTTAGGGAAGAATTTTGATGGTGTGCTCCATTATTTTTGTCGCTGTAAATCGAAGAAGTGAACGTGGTATCACATGACTTACCACCATACTAACCAATCAGAGCACAGGTTCTCAGATACCTTTTTTTTGCATTTTACCTGATATCTTCCCTTAAAGAAATATTGTATTGGGCTTTCTCTAATTTTTACTTTATCTTCTAATGAAGTTCTATAACTACAAATGACCTTAAGAACAGTTTCTTTTTAATCTTTAATCTCCCGACTTCGTTTTTAAAACGATTCCAAGGCCATGGAAGGATCGATTCGTTATGGATTGGTTGAAATAAACTCTGCATCCTTATTAAAAGTTCCTGAGTGTATTTTTTCTTTAATTGAACCAAGCGTTTAGTTGAAGACCAGAGGCATTTGTTAAGACTTTTATACTCTGGGCGGGAAAAATTCTCATAGGCATTCAAGTGGTCCTTCTAGTGTCAAAACTAACCACATAGTATACGTAGGTCGGTCGATGTTTGCTACATGACGCTCGTTTTAAAACTGAGTTTTCCTCACCGTACTACAGCATATGAAAAGAAGCAAAGGTAGACATGAGATAAAAAACAGCCATCTCCAGCCTAGGGTGGGCATCACTACAAGCGCGACGAGAATTTCCAAACAAGATCCAAGGGACCAGGATAACTACAAAGAGAAAAGAAAATGAAAGGAGCGAAACGAAAAAACGACGGTCCTCTTCAACTGGAAGTATTGACGACGGTGTGTGTACGGCAGAAGGGAGGGGGGGGGGGTGTGAGAGGAGGAGGAGGGTGAGTCATTGTTATTGGTGTGTGCTCTATTCTCTCTCAAAATATAGCGGGTCATTTATTCTCAGCTTACGTGAGCCATCACCCTTAAACATCAACATCATGCCCCTAAAAGCTAGAATAATGTGAGGCAACTGAGATTATTTACCGATAAGGCGTTTAGCAGAACTCCTCTTCGCTTGCTTGGAAGAAACTCTGCCCAAAGATTCATACTGCATAAGAGAGAAAATGGGAAACATATGTTTACGTAACTTTATTAAACGGATGGAGGGCCTTTTCATATTTTTACGCCTCCTCCTTATAATTCAGATTGTCGTTAAAAGAAACCTTAGTTAAGTGCTTGTAAATTTGCTCAATTGCTGGCGAGAAACTTTATTTTAGTCAAATCTCATGTCTATCAGAAACCCTGATAGGGATCAAGGTTTTGGTACTGTCGGTTATTCTCACTTTAGGTTCATTTGAAATAACTCCTCACGCGTATTCAATAAAAACGATGCCCCTATCATATCAGATGTGAGATTGCTTATCGGCACAATAAGTGTGTGACTGGAAGGTAAAGAAAAACATTTTTCTCACGATAAGGTAGCGCTTTTCTAATCACTAAACTGTGCTCCAAGGCGGAGATTTCGTCAATGAAGGGGGTAAACAGGGAGCAAGTATTTATGTGGACTGATGTCTTAGCTACAACTTTTGGGGCAGAGGCAGCTGCCATGTCCTACCATTGTGCCACGCCCCCCATACCCAGTCCAACTACGGTACTGAACGCCATGATCCAAAAGTAGTTCGACGCAAACGTACTCAGGAGTCCGCCAGCAAAAACGACGATAGTACAAGCAAGGACTTCCTATGCGGAACGTAGACAAACAAAAAATG